AAGCGTATTGGCACGAGCAGAACGATGCAGAAGGCAGCAAGATGAAGTCCACACAGATTCAAAATAAGAAACTGTAACAATAATAATAATAATGTAAAAGGAAAGGCCTTTATGAAGTAATGGAATCTTTTTATTACACTTAGCTCTCTCTATTTGTAGCTACCRCTGTTAAAAATTTTTTTTTCAGGGAAGGAAGGAGTTATTTGAGGAATCTTCCTTTTCAGTGCAGGACGTTGGTAGACTGAGATTTGCAGAATGGACCTTTCCCGCTTGTTTTAACAGTGTTTTGGCCAGTGTGGAACAGCTGAATTGTATGGCCGAGGTTTTCTACAGGCTTGGAGACCTTCAGCCCTTCTTCTCTGGATTCCTCAGAGCTCGGCGCTTTAGGTCAGATGAACAAGCAGGCAACTTTCCCACCACCACGTTCAGAAGAGGCATTTCTAATGTAGAAGCTGGTCAAATATCTGCATTTCCAATCTGTTGGATCTCCTTCAGCCCCTCTCTGCCCTGTCCCTTAGTTGCYGTGAGCACTGGAGGGGGTCCATAATGAATGGGTCGGGAAAGGGGTGGGACGATGGATGGTGATGGATGGTGTAGGTGACACCGGGGCAATGGGTGAGTGCCCAGAAGGGGCCTGGGGCTGTGGGGTCTCTGATCTGCACTGGGCTGGGAGGTTCTTCGGTTGTTCSTCCCAGTCTGGACATGTGAGAAAACAAAGCCAGAAGTCCCCGTCTAGCTAAGAGTCCTTCAAGAGCTGCATGTCGCCTGGTAAAGTTCCTTTAGGGAACAGCWGTGGCAGTGACAGAGCTGTGAGCTGCGTTGTGCAGAGGCGGGTTACGTCTGGTCCATGTACAAGTTCACAGTGAATTGCTGCCCTGACAGGACTGAAGAAAAGAAGGGAGAGGGATTGCTGATGCAGCCGAGAAATGCGGAGAGCTTTGGGCCATCCCTGGTAGGAAAGTGGATGGGTGGGTATGTCCCTTGCAGGAACAGCCACAGCAGCGTGTTTGGTGCTCAGATTTAGCAGCGCTTAGGAAGAGACTTCCACTTTTTTCCATCAGTCTGATCCTGGGAGGCATAAATCCAGTTGTGCATGCAGTGCAGAGCAGCTCTGCAGTGTGTGTGAGCCCAAGTGTGGGAAAAGGGAGGAGAGGACGCGAGGAGGAGCGCGGCGGTCGGGGGGTGCTGCAGCGAGCGGGGCCTGAGAACGGGAGAGAGGGAAGAAGTCGGGACACGCCGGGAGACCAGGGTGCTGCAGGCCTGTGGCCACCAAGGAGGGAAGGTGCTGCTTGTACCAAAGGTGTGGGGACACAGGGTTGTGTCCTCTGGCTCATACACACTTGGGGGCAGGAATAACCAGCGCTGGCGCCCGCTGTCCTCAGCGCGGGCTCCGCCGCGCTCAGGGTGCCCTTAAATGTCAGCTCCTCGTCGCTTCTTACAGTAGAAATTTACACTTTCTTTGGTTTTCATGCTTTTAACTACTTTTGCCGCCTTTGAGTATTGCTGTGCTGATGTTGGAAAAGTGAAAGTTTCCAACGTACTTTCCTTGTTACTAGTTTAAATGCATCTTTAATGTGTGAAGCACTCCTTCCTGGGGTAAATCACCCAGTTCTTTCCTGTGTCCGTGTAAAGGGTTCTCGTTGCCTCAACTGCTTTCTCTGCACACCCAGATTTCACAGGATCCATTTGGAATGGGRTTTACACCGTACCCAGCTGATGGGACAGGGTCCCCTTATAGAAATACCTTATTTTTTAAGCATTTCTATCTTACCCCTCTTGCATTATAACACTTCAGCATTTCCTACCACAAGTGCATGATAAGTCATTCAGCGAACCATCTCTCATAGTGCCCAGGCCCCTTCCCAAACCCATGCAGCTAATGATGCAGTTTAGTTAGATTTCCCTACGGTGTGTCCAGTGGAGAATTTTCCACATTTTGCAGCTGTTTGCCTTTATGAGCATCATCCCTTGCTGGCTTGTGAACCCGTCCGGTGCGAGCAGCCAGCTTCTGCTGCACTTCTTTTCCAGTCGTGACCTGGCTAAAGCAGATGATTTTGTCTCAGCTGCTTGGCTGCTGTCTCGGGAGCTTTGAGTAACATATACAGTGAGTATATAAAGTGAGTATATTAAGCAAGGCTGTTTCTCTGGGGCTGTCAGAGCCAAGTGCAGAGGAGCTGAAGCAGGGGATGGCAGCCGAGAGCTGTCTCGGGCCCGGGCTCACGTGCGCGGGGCAGGAGGGTGCAGGTCAGAGCACCCACACAAACGGCTGCCTGCGAGAGCCCYATCTGCATGTGGGGCGGCTCTGTGTGGAGGTCCCATCGGCACCTCCCCAAACACGGCGTTCTGCAGCAGGGAGCGCTTCAGACCGCTGGTGCATGTGCTGAAAACAGGCATGCARACCCTGATGCAAGCACAGAAACCAAGCTCGTAAAACCCGAGCGCTTGATACAYGGCGACGTTCCAGTTTTTTAGGTGCTTTGTGGAACAATGCGCGAGAGCATGGGAAGTTCTTCCAAGGGGAACATTTCCATTTATTGTCAGGAATTTGGCACCGTTTACCTATGTGAGCGTTGCAAAATGTGCGATTCGAGACACTCCTTGGCTGCACGTTTCATGTGTTGCTGCTCCTATTTGTTTGTGCCTCCACACTTGAGTCACCAATTCCTATGGGAAAACAAAAGCATTATCGGTCAGGCAATGCACTTGAATTCCCAGGTGGGAATTTGTTTTTTTAAAGTTTGGGTTTGATCCTGGCTGGAGATGGGGCCGCTGCAGTGATCTGCCCGTTCCTGCAGGACAGTGTCCAGGGAGGTAGGTTTGTGCCTGGGATCCCCACGGTCCACACACAGGGATTGACAGGTTGTCCTTCAGCTTTCCTTTGGAGACCTGCCTGATACAGCTCCCAAGCAATAACATTACTCATCAAACATTGCTCATCATCAAAGGGAAAGCTGCAATAATCTGGTTTGCAAGTTTGCACCTTTGGGGTTGCACGTTGCTCAGAAAACAGTGGGGATGTAACATGAACATTAAAATATCTTTCATGCATGAAGGTTGGTGTAGAGAACTGCTTAGGTGCCATGAATGAGGTCTGTAAGCATGGTGTGCTAATGTGCATCATAAATGGTAGGAGCACAGGGGATTGTGAAGTTACCCTTTCTGGGAGATGGAAGAACCGAGGACTACAGGAGAACAGGCTTGTAATATCGGCATGGCCACAGACGAGCCTTGAAATCAAATCTAATTTGCAAACTGCACCGAATCCAGTGAGTCCATATGGACTTTTTTACCTGGCCAGGGGTTTGCACACAGASCCTGGGTGTCTGTGAGCGTTTGTCCCGAGCGGCACCGGCTCCRTGTGGAAGTCACGGTGGTGGTGAGAGATGGAACCAAACCCCAGGTGCTCGCAAGAGTKCAACTTGCTCTTTTTCCCCCAAATGCGTTATTTCTCTGTTTTTAGTATAAGGTAGGATTACTTATTTTTGTTCATTTCATAAGAATTTCCACACAGCTGTTTCGTATTTCTCTGTTAGTGCTTATTTACTCAAGACACAAATTGCAGATGATTCTTGGACAGAGCATGTGACCCTACTGTTTGTATAATGCGTGTCTTCAAAGAGCATTCCCTTTCCAACAATCTTGAAGCACGCTTTGCACTGACATGGAAGTTTCTCCAGCGTTGGGTTTGGAAGGAAATGCTTTACCGGTGTGAACAACCGCTTCGTTTCCTGCACCCCGAGCACCAGGGCGGCCTGCAGTGATTTTACTGACAGTCCTTAGGTTTTTCCCTCTGTGGGCAATAAGGTCCAGCAGAGAGCAGGGATTTCCGCCCCTTTCCACCTTCCCTCCCRCCTTCCTATGGATCTGAGCTCGTTCTGCCCCCAGGCTCTTTCCCAAAACATCCATCTCTCCTGGCTGCTTCTGGATGGGCAGAAGAACCTGGTTTTTGTCAGGCTGGAGCAGCACGTGGGATTAGTATTGTGGCTTTGGAGGTAATACCCATTTTTAATGTTTTTGGTGTTGGTGCTCTGTGTATTTACTATTGGGTATCGCAGTGGTGTTTGCTATATCACCTTTTGGAAGATTTCCCGGWATTTTGAAGTCTTCTGTTACATATTCTCATATCAGTATGTAAAGAAGACTGGAAAGTTAATTTTCACATATGGGTGCAGAATTTCCCATTCTTTGCACCCTGCCTACGTGCCTGGTTTGGAAGTTATGCAACCTCTTTTTATAGAATTGGGTGTTCTGATAATCCAGCCTTAYTCAGTTATCACTTTAAAATAAAACTGTATCAGGAGCCATGGAGGATACAGAACCTAGACCATAAAGAACTACTGTGTATCTCCTAATATAAAGATAATTATTTGTGCTAAAGTTCATCTAGAAATGGTTTCCAGAACTTCTTATACTGCTTTTRTAAACATGCAATGGAAGAGACTAAGTTGCTCAGTCCGATTATGGAAAGAATTTGAATGGAGGTGCCACATATTTGATTCAGGCTGAAGACACTGGAAATGAACCACAAAAATAAATTGTGCTTGATTATCTGCAAACTGCTGTGGGAGGAGGGGAGCTGTGGCAGGGGAGGCTTCTAGCACCTAATTTATGGCCCATTTTCACCTTCACATTGAGATAGATGCAAGTTGCTCTTTCAAGTTATGGAAGTACTAGATTGTTGTAGTAAAATTTTGTAATTTTTTTTTGATTATGATATGCAAAACTATTTTTTTTTTTAATCTCAGTATTGGATGAGATTGGGAACACTGTTTTTTATGGGAGCACTACACACGTTAAAATCCTGCAGGCAGACACGTGGCGGGGGGAGCTTTGCCTACCTGCTCAGCGGATGAGCAGCGTTTCAAGAAACCAGTGCAAATAGTGCGTGGTGATGGGAGTTGATGGTGATGGGAACTGARCCGCAGCACCCGCTCCCAGAGCCCCCAAGGGTGCCAGCGGCGCGGGCCGGCCGCGACTCACGACCCGTGTTGTGCTCGTAGGTAACTCAATGACCATGGAATCTGGAGCAGAGAACCAGCAGAGYGGAGACGCGGCCGTCACGGAGGCGGAGAGCCAGCAGATGACTGTGCAGGCGCAGCCGCAGATCGCGACGCTAGCCCAGGTATGGAGCGGGGCGCCGGGGAGAGCCGCGTGCCGCCTCTGCTCGTGGAGAGGGGCTGCTGCTTGCGAGTGAGCCCCGAAGGAGCATCCGCCGACGTGATCCCGAGACTGGTTCCTTTTATCCGTGTTTCACATTTGTGTGGCATTTGAGACCGCTCACTTCCCGGCACACTAGAACTAGACCAGTTCTAGAGAACTGTGTGTGTGCAAGCTGTGGGGTTTTAGCAGAGCAATGAATTACTTGAAGTGCTAAAGCATTCCTTCCTGCAAACATAACACTGGAAGGTATTTTTTCAAAACTCGCCATTTACTGCATTTTTCACATTGACTGGGTTGATTGGCTGTGCTCTGTTTGAAACCTGCCCCTAGCAACATGTGTCTAATTCTGAAGAAAACGGAGTGAAAATGTAGGTAAATAATGTAGTAAACATGCGAGCTGTCAGGTGGGATTGAACACTAAGCTTTACAAGCAAGTGGAGCAGCATGGTCTGACTGCTCAAGCCACGCTTATCGTATGCTGAATTTCACAGGATTGGTTACTCTTTAGCGAGAGAGCAGGAGCTCCTTTCTGAATCCCACGTTATTTAGGCGAGGTAAGAAGTGACACAGTCCTAGYCCCGCTTAATCTTGGAGCCCAGCTTTGCTCCGAGTTCAGCACACACTGAGGCCTAGCAGCAGCATCGCCAACGTGCACAATCTGTCCCTGCTCTCCTCTCTCACCGTTCCCTTCCRAAACTATTTGCAGCCAGCACAGCACAAACTCTTTTTTAGATCACATACCTCCGGAAGTATAATGTCTCAAACTGCATAATTGTTTAATAGCTTGTCGTTTTGTTAATTATTCCTTTATAAAGTCGGGGCGCTTTGCGCTCGGCGAGCTCCGGTGTGACTTTATAGGCCGCCAGCTGCCTCTTGGGGCAGTTTTTTCACTGCTTTAACTTCAGCACAGGATGTAGGTGGTGTGAATAGCACTTGGGTGTGAGCTAAGTGCAAGTAGCCTGTTCTCTCACAAAAGCAGCGAGCTGCTTTTCACTTGGTGCATGTTAAGATTTAGCACAAAAAAAAAAGGAGCCAGCGTCTTTTAAATTTGTATCTTAACACACAAATTCCAGGTAGCAAAACTTACAGGTAGGCAGTAGATTGAACAAGCTTTACTCAGGCAAAGTTGCCCTTGCACACAAATAAAAATTTTATCTGGGTGAGAAAAAGAGGTGGGATTCTGCATGGCAATGGTTGAGTCCACATGGACTCCAAATACTGCAGTAATTTTTTCCCTAGTTTCCCCTGCTGTTGTTCACTGTGTTACTTGCACTGCAGCAGGCTTCCAGGCTTTGTGTTCCATATGGAGGTGGGACAGCAATCCAAACGTAATTCCTTGTCTTGTTTACATCACTGTTATGTTATTACAGTATTTTTAGTGTGTAGAGAGGCTTTATTTGGCATTAGAGAGCGCCCTCAGAAGCTTAGCAAAATCTCARTAAATAATTATATATATTTTTATTATCTCTTATACAGAGAGAGAGGTGACCCTCTTTGCACCCGTAGTTTWATTGCTGCATTTTCAGTGAGTTGAGGGTGGATGTGCGAGTCACAAGGAAACTGGTTCCAGTTCCACCGGGCGTGAGTCAGAGACGTGTGCGGAAGTCACGCTCTGCTCTGGGCTTAGCTCAACCACAAAGCAGCCTTCCGTTGATCAGCTTTGCTGCCGGAGCCAAGGACTGTTTAGTGAGACGTGTGTTACGGGAAGGTCACCATGCAGAGCAATATCATTTGCTGCGTCCGTGCTAATCTCAGGCCCGGGTTCTCCTGGGTGCCAGTGTTAAGTGCTGCTCCCTAAGGCTGTGGCCAGCTCCGTGGAAAAGGGAGGTAAAGGCAAAGGGCAGCTTGGGGATGAGGGAGAGACGGCTGTGGAGGAGAGAGGCCTACGTGTAATTCCCTTTAAGTTTGTTGTTTAGCAAGATTTTTCCATAAATGCCCGATGTTTATGGAAATGCAGAGCTCCTCCACTGCAGTCTTTTGAGAAGCACGTGTTCATGCACACACAGGAGGGTTTTGCTCTTGCATTCTGCATGTAGCACTTGTTGGAGATGAGGGAGGGCAGCAGTGCAGCCACCTCCTGTCCTGCAACCGGACGGATAAACCTTGAAAATGCCCTTAAATTTGGAGCTTTGTTACGTTTTTCAAACCCAACCTGCTAGGGCAGCCCATACCCTGCTGCAGTGCAGAGCCTGCCGGGTGCACACCGTGTCAGGCATCGTTTAGCAACTCAAATTTCAGACCTTGGACCATTTTCCCTGCTCGAAATAAAGCAAGGCTAGAGATTGTGTTGCCCTGTAATGCTGTATTAAAATAACTGCCTGGCAACGGTTTGTTTCCATCGAAAACCCACATTTTGCCTGCCTAAACGTAGGGTGAGCTTTCTTTTTGAAGCAGATTTTGTCTGTTACTGGACTGTATTCTCTAATAAGTCTGAAAGACAMAACTCCCTAAAAACACTCTTACATCTGGCAAACATTTTTCATTTTCTTAAGTGAGAATAAAACTGGCTCCGCTCCTGCAAGTTTCTGACTTGCAGTTTCAGCAGTGTCTGTAGGAGGACACCCGCGTCCTAGCAGTGTTTTACTGGAGTAAGAGAAGTTCCATCGTGTTTTTTATTAGGTTACCTTGAAACGAAGGCGGTTGTGATTCTTGTGTTCCTGGCAGTGGTTTTACAAGCAGTGTTTTGAGCCTGCAGAAATTCTGCGTTAAATTAATCCKCAAAGTAGGTCAAATGTTGGGCTTAGGCCGTTCGAGGGGGGTTGCATTGCAYGGAAACATGTGGCTCAGCTCAGTGGGGCCGAGAAGAGACATAATTCTTCAACCAAAAGCAATCCTGATAGTGAATTGGGAAGAATTCCCTAACGTAACTCACGCTCCGTGTCTGTGTTTTGCAGGTATCGATGCCAGCAGCTCACGCGACGTCGTCTGCGCCCACGGTGACCTTGGTGCAGCTGCCCAACGGGCAGACGGTGCAAGTGCACGGCGTCATTCAGGCTGCGCAGCCCTCGGTCATTCAGTCTCCCCAGGTCCAGACAGTTCAGGTACTTGCAGGAGGACTCCCCTCATACATCATCCGGGCCTTCTGAGGAGCCCTGCACACTCACTGGCTCCTTTTTATGTTTCTATGTGGATTGTGTTCTTTTTTTGTGTATATAGAGCATGTTGAAGGCAAAATCTGCTCTGTTTTTGCCATGCTGTGGTGGTTTTTCTATTCTGCATTAACCATTTTTCATCTCCGTACGTGCTGGGTTTCGTTTCCCTCTAGAACTTGGTTGGTGAATTCAACAGCTCGTGGGTTTGCTTATTGTACTCCAACACGTCTCTCTCTCCCGCAGTTTTATACCTCTTTATTGACTTGTAGAAATTTGTATTATTAGCTCTGAAGTGCACAAACGGGATTGTAAAAATGTGATTTTTTTAAACTGTCARTGAAGTTGTATTGGGATGAGAGTCTTTGCTGCTTGGAAAACATAKGCTTTGTTTTGCACTCTGTGTTATGGACCTCAAGGCAGAGCTGTGGGTCCCTCATAAAAGTGATTTTAAGATGCCTTGTTGCGTATTATTTGCTTTGTAAAACATTAGGGTGTTTTTTTCCCCTGTAAGCCAAGACAGATAATGAAAGAATGAATGAAGAGACTATTTAATGACCTAGGGGAAGAGTAGTGTATAATCCCTAAAATCTGCAATCTCTTTATGTTTGTTATTTTTTGGCTTTGGAACCACTAAGTCCAGTGTAATTGAACATAGACTCAGAAAATGAATACAAAGACTGTACATGTGCTTTTGCTGCTGGTACACTAAGCACAAAGAAAAACCCATAATTACAAAGGTAGCCATTGTGGTTGTTTGATACCTTTATTTATCTGGGCATTATTCCTAAACATAATTTAAAACCGGGTCATTCTGATAATAATCTTGTTTTGCTCCTTGTCGGCTTCAGTTCTGAGTTCCTGGCAGGCCCTCCCTCCTCAGCCTTTGGAGTCAAAGGGGTAGAGTTTGAAGCTCTTAGGGGTGAGGAGCTTGCAGAGAAGCGCAGGAGCTRCTAGTCAGGGGTGGAAGATAAGAGACTGATAAGGAAATGGAGTTGGGAATTCTCCTGCCCCGAGGCAAAGCAAGTGCCTGTTCCAGCCTTGGACGTGTCCCAGCCCTGCATGGGGCAGCTCGGGCACCCACACGGGTTTGGAGCCCTCAGGAACCTCCCCTGGGTGCACAAAACACCAGGCCACGAGCTCTGCTTCTCACACAGACCCTTAGCTCCTTACTGTTTCATTCACTTTTGTGCATTCGGAGTGTGAGCTGCCGGGGAAAAAATTATCCCATTTTTAGCATTTCAATTTGTGGAAGTGTGATTGATCCACAGATTTGAGCTTTCCTCCCTAATTAGCACTTATTAAGTGCTTTTAGCACAGATGTGCAGCATTTTGTTAGTGTCCCAGGTACGATGTTTTCCTGCCAGTTTCCCCAGAGAGAAGGCGGTCTCTCTGTGACTTGAAATCAAAGGACAAAATAGAAAAATCTTCTGCAGTGCCCATGTTCACCCGGTGCTGTATAAATGGATCTTTCTCAGCTTCAGTGTTGCGTTCTTTTGTCTCCAAACTCTTCTGYTTTCAATCTGAAGTCGCTTTTAGTTTTGCTCTCCCCAAACTTGATAGCCTTTCTCTGGTTCTTTGAAATGGATGGAGACAAGGAACCACCAAAGCAAAAAGTGTGTAGAATTACTATTTATATTTTCCCCAAACATACAAATTCCATTTGCAGAAGGAAGTTTGGCTGGTTGTGGCCGCTGGTTACTGTATCCGTCACTGAGCGGCCTGTCCTTGCTGTCAGTTGCCCACGTCCATCACGCTTGCCCTGCAGTGTTGTTGCCATAACGTGGCCAGGCCTTGAAATAGGAGGCATTGCCGGTGCCCTGCGGATTTTCACTGCTGTTCTTGTTCGCAGATCTCCACTATAGCAGAAAGTGAAGATTCACAGGAATCAGTAGACAGCGTCACAGACTCACAGAAACGCAGGGAAATCCTCTCCAGGCGACCGTCCTACAGGTATGGAGCTGAAGGGTGGAAGCATTTTGCTTGGCGAATGCCTGCCTCCAATGGGGAGACAAATGGTGTAATTCTGTAGTTACTAGGGGGCTTATCTATAAATCCACTTAGCTAAAATATCTCTGCTGCAGTATCTCTCCCTAGAATTGGAGGTAAAGAGATGARCAGATAGCACGACGAGGAGGAAACCTCAGATGTTCCACTGAGGCAAGGCAGAGATGAGCTGAGAATAAGCTGATTGCCAAATCTGTAAGACATTGAGATATCGTTGTGATAGGTGACTTAGAGGTAGCTTTAATAGATACTTAATATACGGAGCACACTGAAGTTACTGTAGAATCTGCAGTCCAGCTAAAATCAACGTTACTGTTTTTGGTAACGTTAAAACGTTAGCGGCAAGCAAACASTTCCTTCTCCTGTGAGGCTTCCACAGGGGGATGTGCTGTGACTCAGCGGGAGTTTCTGCTTGGGCAAACTTGGTGATGTTTAAAGTTAAAGAAGCGGGGATGTGAGTGTACCACAGCGATTGGCATCCAGTGTCTTTACTGGTGTGGCAAGTACTTGTGTGCAAGTCCGCCTGAGGTGCTGCTCGCCACGGCACCAGCCATACCCKCTGTGGAATTCTACCCCCTGCACACCTCTTTTTCTGGCCACGCTAAATCTCGCTTTTCAGCCTTACAACTTGTTAAAAAATTGTAAGGAACAGCTGTGGATGTCCAATGTTTTTTAAGTGACTCGTGGATTGCGATTACTTCAGAAAATTCAGCTGCTTCTCATTTCTTCATGAACATAGTGTTAGAAATCTCAAGCAGCCTCTAGGCCTAAGTATTTCTCACATATTTTGTTAGCAGTCACAGGTTATTTTCTGCCTTTTTGAGGAGCCTTCCAGGCTCTCCTAAGGAAGATAGTGAAAATGACCRCTGAAGACCTCTTGCTGTATGGATCCTGGATATGTTCTAACTTGTGCAGGGCAGTGTTGCTGACCTTCAGCCTGCTACAGGCTTCCTTGGAGCCTGCGCCTGCAGTCGTTTGCTTACTATATATGGAAGAATCGCTCAATATCATGAGACAGCAGGGCTGACTCAGTAAACAAGCAGTAACTGGGACGCGCGCGGGGACGGGTCGCGGTTCGGATGAGCCCTCCCGCCCGCGCCGCAGCCCCGGCCCCGCTGGCAGCCGCTCAGCCGCAGRGCTCGTGAGCCCCACGGCGGCCTGGGGCCAGCGCGTTCCCGCTGGCGGGAGCCCAGCGCCTGGAGCCGGTCCTGGGGACGCGGGAGCTCGGAGAGGGCCCGGGGCTCTGCGGCTTTCCCGGCAGCAGCGCCTCGAGCGGGGCCGCGGGCCGCGGCGCTTGCCCTGTTCTCCCCATCAGCTCGTGTCTGCTGCGCCCCGGAACCTGCTGCCTTGTCTTTTATATTACATCCAGCTTTGTGATGGCAGTGATGGGTTGTAACTGGCAAATCCTCTCAGAGAGGAGCGAAAAAAGCGTCCAGCTGGAATTTCTCCTTTTCTGTTTTGGGCTGTGGGGTTTTGCTCGTTGTCCTGCCGGCTTTCTCCGTAGATTTCCCCCTGTTTTGTCCGTGAGTGCTTCCTGCTCTCACTGCTCGAGTGCAGCAGGAATCTGCTGCGTGTCCGGGTGGTGCTTGGCACGGAGGAGAACACGGGCAGCGCCGGGGTCCTGTGAGCAGGGTCAGAACAGCAGCAAGGGCTGCGTGCCAGGGTGCTTGGCACAGTGAGCAGCCTCCCCGGATAGCTCCGTACGGATCTTCTGGCTCCCCAACTCCTYGTTTAAGGAGTGAATGTTGCCTCAGAGCTTGGCTCTGCAGCCGTGCTTGCTTCATCACACTGGGAGGTCTAGAGACACAGTCTGTGGAAAAAAATAGAGGAAATGACACCGAAGGTTCCCCTCTGCGCGCTGCCGGAAGAAGCGTTTTGCGGTGGGCGACGAGAGGAGGTGGCAGCCTTAGGCAGAGCCCCACGCAGGTCTGTCCAGGACAGGGCGCTCGGCCCCGTCCCGGCCGTGCCCAGCGGCACCGGGCGCCCTGGAGCTTTAGCAGCTTGGGCTTCGGATCATCCCGGCAGGTGAGCAGGTGGGCAGCCGATTCCTGTCGTCTGTGCTCAGGCAGCTCTCCCAGGAGGGAGGGTTTCCTCCCCGGTGCACGTAGCTGCTCCCGGGTCTCGCCCCGGCGCTGGGCGTCGCGGGCGGCGGGYTGTGAACTGGTTGCTGCTCACAAGCAGAGCCCCTGGTTTCCTTTCTGCTTTGGTCTTCATGGTCTCTGAGACTCAGCGGTTCCCCCGACGTGAATCAGGAGATGGAGGCTCTGTGCTTTTGCTTCTTTCATATCTTTATGGGGCTGGAAGCAGGAAGCAAGTAAAACTGTGTGAGGGAGAAACAGGTTTTTAAGAGAAAGGGAAGCTGCAATAGTTGTGTCGAGAGGCAAGAGCACCTGGGCTCTGTCTGTGTGTGGCACTTGGAGCAATCTTCTCCAGCAAGAGTTCCATTTGTCCTGGTCTCTCATTCTGCCCCTGTTATTCCCTTTGCTGGATCACTGCACGTTGCAGTTTTCTCCAGCATCATGTATCATTTTTTATTAAAATCTCTATTTTATTTATTTCAAAATCTCAATTTTARTAAAATCTCTTTTTATTAAAATCTCTACAACCCACTGTCTTTGCCAGAAAAATCCTGAATGACCTGTCCTCAGACGCGCCGGGAGTGCCGAGGATCGAAGAAGAAAAGTCTGAAGAGGAAACAGCAGCCCCTGCCATCGCCACTGTTACGGTGCCAACTCCCATTTACCAAACCAGCAGTGGGCAGTACAGTATGTAGTCTGTATTTCTCAGCGGTGCTAGTAAGTGGGGATGAGAAGATGAAGAGCTGTTGTTTGTGTGACTATCTGGACTAGGACAATGCAGGAGGACAATATAAGGTTACATTAATTGGATGTTGGAGGCCCTTGATTTTTAAGCACATTCCCATTTTCAGTATTTAAATTGTTAATTTACATTCGGGGGCTGCTTGCTAGTGTTAGTGCAGCAAATGTTCTGCAGCCTGAGATGAAATATGAGTTAGCTGTACAGCTGTTACGGGCACTGGACTGCAGGAGCCAGATGAGGCCATTCAGAAATCTTTTTCTTTCTTCTTCCTGGCACATTGTTAATCCTGCCTCACTGAATTGCTGCCTGTTAAAAATTGTTAGAAAGAACAATTCTTCAATTACATTTGCAGAGAATCCTGAAAGGAATAAGGATTTCAGTGACCTTAATCAAAACACTTAATAAATATAAGCTTCTGCTTTGCAGTTTCTTTATTCACTAGATCTATAGATGTATTGCTTTAACATGAAGGACTGAGGATACAGGAGCAAAGCTGGAATTCACAGACCTCTGCAAGCAAATTAACTCAGTATTTAATGTACAAGAGGGAGAAAGAAATACCTGCTCACATCTTTCTCTTAAATGTCTTTAAAATTTTGTGTCTCTTTTCTCCTTAGCCACCTTTCCTAGTACCTTACTTAATGTTATTGAGATTCATGTGGTTCCCTCTGCTTTACCAACRCTGTAAAAACATTGCTCATACAGATGCCTGAGATTTCAGTGTGCCTSTATGTGGGAATACGGTGAAATTTGGTCAATGCAGAGAATGAAACACTTCAGTAGGAGGAGGAGCTAGGGGAAAAACAACAAACTAAGTSTGCATGAAGGAAAAAGAATTGTCCGCAATTTGGCCTATATGGGTGAAACAGGAGGAGGACGAATAACCAGGTGAATAGTGATAGCAGCAGAGGAGACCAAAGGGAGCAAAGCTTGGAAGGGGAGAGGAATTTCAGATGAGAAGAAAGAAAAGACAAGACTGAGGAAAAGACCTGAGTCAAACAAGAAAAAAATCCAAACTCTTGAATGAAAAGTTTTATATTGTAAGTTAATGAGTTTATTAGTCTCTTAAAGACCCTGTCCAATGTCTTTGTCCTCAGTTGCTATTACGCAAGGAGGAGCAATCCAGTTGTCCAACAACGGCACGGATGGAGTCCAAGGGCTCCAGACGCTGACGATGACCAATGCAGCTGCCACCCAGCCCGGCACCACCATTCTCCAGTATGCACAGACCACAGATGGGCAGCAGATACTTGTACCCAGCAACCAAGTTGTTGTACAAGGTGAGAAACTCCACAGTCAGGCATTCTCTGGGAYGTGTTCTCCACACGGCTCTATAATTTGCCAACCTGAATTCCTCACATTTGTCAGGAAATAGAGTTAGTGGCTTTGACACAGATCAGTCTCCACAAGGAAATTGCAGACAAAGCCATTTGTCACGTTTCCTTGGTGCTGATCTCTCACACCAGTACATTTGTGGGTACTTTCGTTTTGCTTTGGAGAAAAAAAAAGTGCTTTTTCTTTTAGTTTTCTATGTTGTATTTCGTGCATCTTGTCCACATGGTTTTTGCTATGTGTTCTTCAGAAACTGATACCATAGACTATTTTAGCATTCTGCATTCTGCCAGACAGTCGGCTGCAACAAGAAATTTAAAGGAAAGCAGTTTAAGTTAGGAAAGCAGGGGCTTTTTTTTGATAAGTTCTTTCCATAAGGAGAGTTTCATTTATTAGTAACTTTTTCCTTTAAGTTAAAGGTCATAATCACTACTCAATAAATATTTGGTCGTTGAATATTAGAATGCTGCAATATTTTGGATTGGAAATGGCCTCTAGAAGTCGTCTGTTCAAACCCTCACAGAGCAGGACTACTTTAGGGTTGGACCAGGTTGCTTTTTCTTGTTTTATTAAAACATGTTTTCTTAAGCAAATGCAACTTCTTTAGGTGGTGTCATATTTTGCTGCATTCAGCACTTGTATATTAAAAAAGGAAAAATAAATTTGTTCTATAGAAATATTAAAGTTGAATGCTGGGCTTGCACTGCCTGTCTTGTCAGTGTGAGTGCTGCATTTCTACACCCTTTTTATCAGCCTCCAGTTGCTTACTCTTGGAGTTTCTCCTTTTGCACGTAGTTACTTTGGAGCACAGCTAGCAATACTGCTTGCCTGCTCTTTGCTGCTAAAACTGCCCCGAAACAGAAGAAAAAGCAATGTACCGAGAGAAGAGAAGTGCAGCGGGACGAATGAAAGCATCGAGCCCAAGTGAAGCCTTCTTCCTCAGGAGTCCCTCAACCTGTAACATGTTGATAAATGTAATAAGTTAATATGTTCTTGACAGTGAGGGTGACAGAGCCCTGGCACAGGCTGCCCAGGGAGGYTGTGGAGTCTCCTACTCTGGAGGTCTTTAAAACCCGCTTGGACGCAGCCCTGTGCCACGTGCTCTAGGTGACCCTGCGTGAGCAGGGTGGTTGGACTAGATGACCTCTGAGGTCCCTTCCAACCTTAAGCATTCTGTGATTCAGTGTTGATAAACCCAAACGATGACGATGGTGGCCACCCTGGCTGTACGTCAGCGCGGGGCGCGAGCGCCGAGGTGGCCGAGCAGGGCTGTGCTCGCGGTGACGCCGTGTGTCCCTTGTCTTGCAGCGGCCTCGGGGGACGTGCAGACCTACCAGATCCGCACGGCGCCCAGCAGCACCATCGCGCCCGGCGTGGTCATGGCCTCGTCGCCCGCGCTCCCGACGCAGCCCGCCGAGGAGGCCGCGCGCAAGAGAGAAGTGCGGCTCATGAAGAACAGGCACGGCCAGCCCCACCTTCCCTTTGCGTTCCGCTTCTGCTTCGGGCTCTGCTCCTAGGACTAGAGTGTTGTGCACTAGAACCCGCCTTGCCTTACTGGTTTTATATTACGCTGCCTTTATTTAAACATGCAGCGTGAAGAAGCTCATAGGCTAATGCTGTGTCTTGTTTGTGGTGGTTACAAAACCGTGAGTAAAGACGTCAGACTCATTCAGAGGTGTCTGAGTTACCACTTTCATTAGTCTGCTAGTGAGGAAAAAGGTCCATGGTGAGAGACAGGTTTCATTTGACTTGCAGTATGTTCTTAAGAACACTGAGATGGGTTGGTTTTTTTGATCAATTACCTTCCTGGAGTCTCCTTTCCCGGGCAACTTGGCTTAGCCTTCTGCTTGCGTTCTGCTGCACTCTCACCTTTCRTGAGTATTTGCTTTCCTGTCTCACTTTTCCTCTTTACCCACTCACCCGTTGGGTGCTCTGCTCTGGAGGCAGGAGGTCTCCAGGCTGAAGGAGCCTCGTTCACTGCCCTGAGCAGTGGCAGCAGAAGGCCTGAAAAAGAGGGAAAGGAGACGTGATTGTAGGAATTAGCATGAGGAACGTGGTTTGAATAAAGAAATAATGCTAAACCTTAGAATTCACCTTTTTTTAAAAAGTGCTTGTCCAGAATTTCATGTTACATGATTTTCGGATATCAGTGAATAGCAGATACCATTGCCCACCCTTTCAAGCTTCCTGTATTTGAGAAAAAAATAATTGGCATTTAGAATCCCCTTGTTTAGTCAGAAATCTTACCCAGTAAAAGGAAACTTTACTGTCTGGAAAAGCCAACAGAAATAATGGGGAGTCACTCTGCCCTTGTTTGAATGGACACCTTTCAGAGCAGCGTCGTGTTGCGTGTGCTGTTTTTAGCCGGCCTAAAACTACTTCATAGCTATTTGCAAAGCTGGCCGCCACAGAGGAGGGGGGTAAAAGGCTGTAGGAAGGCAGAGGGAGCAGTGATAATATTAAATATATGAAATATTAAAGCATAAATAATAATAAGATATAGAAATAGTAATATAGAAATATAAGAAATAATGAAATAATAATAATAAATAACTGAAATATTAAAGCATAAATAATACTAGACGCTATCGTGGAACTTTTCTGTGTATAAATTTTAAATGCAGTAAATGCAGTATAACTGTAGCTGTTCATTATGAACAGTTAATGCACACAGGCTGGAAGTAGCTGAGTGCCCAGCCTGRCACAAAAGGACAGAAAAAGTTGCCATCTGGGAGCACATCTTAGTACTTTACCACTTGGAGGCGACTTCTTCCCTCATCCAGTGGTGGTCAGACACAACCACAGCCCAAAATGACTTTAAATATTGCTCGTGACCCACTGAAGTCCTATGAGCTTGTGAAACCTTATTTGAAGGAGTGACAAATGGACACCTCAATCCTATCAGATCAGATTTTCCTTATTCTTGTGGAGCTGCATTTTAAAAGATTCTTTTAAAAGATKGTGGATTTTAAATTTTCTTGCCAAGTTGGTCCTGAAAGAGACTTTTTTTTTTTTTTGGATCTACAATTACTATTTACCTAGTGAATGGGAGAACTAAGTTCAGTTTTCTCCTCTCGTTCCTCTCGTTTCCTGTAACATAGTACATATATTACATAGTTAACAAACTGAAAGTATTATTTGAGAGCAAATATGTGAATGCCTTAAATGCAGCRTTTTCTGCACTGTTTCAACAAAGCTTTTTTTTATTTATTTTTTATTCACAACCTGAATATTATTATTGGATCAGACTACAGCAGAGAGAAAAGCTAAAACTATTAAGAGATTAGTAGATGAACTTCTGCTTTTTTTGTTGTTTCCCTCTTAGTAATAATAAAGGAAATCAGAGCAGCAGCATTGTTCTCAGTGCGAAGGCTCAAAATTAAACCTTGCAAACATAATTTTGTCRTTGAGGAGGATCCTTTTCTCCCACCAGCAGAATTTTACCAGTGCCAGCTTCCCAGGATCCATGTGGCGGAATGATCCTTGGATCTTGAGTATTTGTGATTTGTAAGGTGAAATTATTACAAAGTCAGCTTTTCTTCCCAGTTTATGATTTTTTTCTTACATTTTCTTACATTTCTTACATTTTCTGACATTCTAGAAGTGTCAGTATTAGATAAATGTTTGACCTAAGCAGCTAAGCAACCCACGTCTGTAAGTGTTTGTTCTGGATTTGAATGTTTTTGTTTGCTTTGCAGAGAGGCAGCACGTGAATGTCGCCGAAAGAAAAAGGAGTACGTGAAATGTCTAGAAAACCGAGTGGCTGTGCTTGAAAACCAAAACAAGACACTCATCGAGGAGTTGAAAGCACTTAAGGACCTTTACTGCCACAAATCAGATTAATTTTGGATTCCCATTTTCACTTGTCGAGGTGGGATTGAGACTGGTTCTGGCTTTAACCAGAAAGACAAAGTGAACTTTTTATTTTCTAAACATTTCTTTTTTTTCTATTCGCAAAACTGCCTGAAAGCAACTACGGAATTGAATTCGTCTGTGCTTTGCATCAAACTGTGAATGTTCAAACACTTGCCTCCACTTCTCCCCCTGCAAGATTATTCTCGTCGTGGAATAATCTGAGYGCGAAGAAGAACAACAGGCTTCTTCCTCATCTCCCCATCCTCGTCAAGGAGTAGCAGTGATTCCTTGGGAAGTTCCCGTGGGAGAAGGTCCGTTTGTAAGGATTTCAAGAAGWTGTGTTGAGCTCTTGCGATTGCCTTAGAGACAGAACCACCCCAGCCTCTCGGCCCCGGGAATCTGTGTGGGCCACGTACATTTTAGCATGTATGGTGCAATGAAGAAGCAGTGGTTGCCAAATTGGTTTCACATGTTCATTGTGAACTACAAAAATACATGGCTGGGTGCAAGGCGCCTCACAGCCGTGGTGCTGGTGTGGAGATAACATGCAATTATTAAACTAGCCCAGAAGGGTTTTGGTGTTTAATCCGTTAGACCCTCCTGGAGTAATAAAACCTTCTCCATACCTCAGGAAACAAATGCATTGGAACTGCCCTTACTGGCCAGGTGTTGCTTCTGGAAGCCTGTTTTATACAAGTGCGCTCAGCATCCTGAATGCGCAAAAGGAAATCATGGACTTTGTAGGATACTGGGTGGGAAATGGAATTAGAGGGGAAAATGAATCTAAACATGAAAGAGGAACTGCGGTGACCTTGAGAAATCAGTTGCATAGTAAGCATGGGTAGCATACGAAAGCACTGCTTGCTTGGATCAGACAACGAAGCAGTTGAGCGTGGCCAACTCCACATCCGTATTCCCTGATGACAGTAGAGTCTCAGTGTCCCAAACCCTTCTAAGCAGTCAAGTTATTTCTATTTCCCTACCACTATCTTATGTAATGGAAATTGTTGTACTTACCGGAAACATTGTGCTGGTTTGCTCAATTCTTTTTAAATTTTGAGGTCACCTTAAAGGAAATAWATCTAATCGCAGTAGGGGTAACCACCAGGTAAGCTTCAAACATTGAATTGAAGAGGACTTCCAACTGGCTTCTGCATTGCAAGGACAATATTGATTACTTGAACCTGCCCAGGCTAACTAAATTCTCAATTTATTCAGAGGATTTATTAACGTCAAGGGTCAGATTTAGCAGCTTGTTTATTCRTGTGGGTAGAACTACTCATGTGCCTAAGATGTTTGCAAGACCTCTTGTGTGCGCCGAGGAGACGTGATCTCTCCCAGGTTCACGTTGTGAAAGGAGTAGATCATGTTGGAGAATAATGAACCCTGTGCTCAACCTTTGGGACTTGCGTTGTGTGTCCAAAGGAATCATGTTTGGTTTGGATTGTGGCCCCCTGAGGCCAGGCTCTTGGTATGTTAGCTTGGATCACTGGATGGAGTAAGTTTACTTGGGTCCAGCTTGCACGTGTGGAGACAAAAAACAAGAGTCTGGTCCGTACTAATGCCTAGCTAAGTGTTAGCTAATGTGTTCTCCCGTTCGTTCCCTCTGTTTTTAAGGTGAATTTCAAATACAAGCGTTTTTAAAGGGTTATAYGGTCACTGTGATGTTATGAAAAAGAAGTTTGCAAGATTCAGGCTGGCGAGTCGCAGCCAGCGACAGCAGTGTTAAAGGTTCTGGCTTTGTCGTTGGAGAGGGCGTTCAGGTTCCAGGAGACTTCAAAGGAGCAGGGTTAAACTTGTAGCGTTATTGTGACATCCAGAGTTATCCGTAATTTCAAATGATGTTTATATTTCAAAGAAGAGAACCTACGTATCGGAATTCCGAAAGAATCCATTTCCCAGTTAACCKCTGCGGGATTTTATAAACGGTCTATTCTTATGCGCCGTGGAGGATGAATTCTGCAGGTTTTATTTAACAGAGGGGGGATTCACTCGGTTGGCAGCACAAATCCAGGAAGACCCTAAATTCTCAGTGGCGCTTCGGCCCGACGCGGTGCCGAGGAGGCCGAGCGGGCGCGCGCATCCCTGCCGGTCCCGGCGCCGGAGGCACGAGGTTGTGTGGCACCCATATACGTGCTTTAACCTTCAGAGTGAGGCAAAAAAGGGAAGGAATCCGAGACAGGCATCCACTCACCCCCCTGTTCCCTCGGGAGCGGGGCTGGGGCCGTCGGCATCCATGAGCTAGGGAGCTTGGATGCGGCACGGCCGTTCCCTCGGCCGCGGGGACGGAGGGTCGGTTTTATAGCGAGCGCCCCCGAACCCGCAGCCTGGTTCCCCTGAGGAGAGGGGCAGAAAGGGCTAGATCCATTCTGTTCATAATAAACACGAATTGCTTTGAAAGATGATTTTTGTAATGTCATTATTTTGCAAAACAGCCGCACCGCTCAGGCAGTTAAGACATTGCCAGAGGTGCGCTTTTAATTTAGATATTCTTGGGAAAAAAAAAAATACATATGTATGATATATGTACATATATATATATATATATATATACACACAGTATATAATCTACAGCTCTGAGAGCTTTTAAGTCAGGAATGCTGAGTATTATAGTATATGGAGGTCAGAAGAAATTTTTACTTCTCCGTGTGTGTGTGGGTGCGTGTGGATGTGTGCGCGAGTGCCGAAGCTCCCCTAGCTCTGGGCTCTCCTATTCCAGCGCTTATTGCCGCTCTGTTTGTGACGCTTTCAGTTACCCAATTTCAGCCTCTTTATCTCATCCGTCATGGCTTTTTGTGGTTTTTTTTTTTTTTTTCTTGTTTGTTTGTTCCCCCTCGGAGGTTTTTGCAATGATGTAAACAGTTGCTTTGAACCCTCCCCCCCAAAAAATAATTCGCTTTTGTGCTTTTCCTCTTTGGCAGCTATATATCAAAGGCAAAAGCAGCCGGGCGGATTTTTCGGTGTTGGGAATTCCTCATTGTTGTGGCCTGGGGTTCATGGAGCCGCCGGTAGGACCGATGTTTTCCTCGGGGGTCGTGGCTGGGGACGTTTATTCAAGGAGTGATTTTAGCCGAGCAGGGTGCCTGTGTCCCAAACCTCTGGTTCTCTGCTGTTTTATGTGGATCGGGAAACTGGTAGGGAACCATTAAGAGGCTCAGGAAAAAAAMAAAAMAAAGATTTAATAAGGAAAACCAGCCCTGGCCGTTTCTGATGTAGATTTATAGTACTATTTTTTTTTAATTTTGGGCTTCCAATGGACAAGCAGCTGCAAGTAGTCGCCTGTTAGCAAAAAAATCTGGTCTTTTTAAAAATTTTATTTTAGACAGATAAACAGTGCTTTTTGTGGGTTAAAGACAAGTCTCCTCATCCAAGCAAGTTCATTACCCGTGGYTGCGGATCCGTGACAATGTGTGCGATGATTTCCCTGGGTTTCTGAGACCGTTTTTACCGTCTCTTTACTTTTTTCCCCCACCCTGAAGCTGGGTAGTGATGTAACATTCGCCAAGGATCCAACCATAAGGTCATGTATTTATTTTTGTTACGTTATATTCTTTGTAAATGTTTGATAAAAATGTGCACTTTTTTAAAAAAAAAAAAARAAAAAAAAMAAAMAAAAWRAMAAAAAAAAAAAAAAAGAAAKAAAGAGAAATTGAGTATTGGTTTTGCTTGCAAGCGCCCTGGCGCCGTTGCTGTAAGCGTGCGACCTCTCCGGGTGCCTCCATCCCGAATTTCACATTTCCCGAAGGAAAGTGGCGTCACGGGGAGGCCGCAGGAGGCCGAGCTGGGATTAAGGAGCAGCGCGGCCGGGATGGGCGCGGAATTGGTTTTAGGCAGCGTAGAACTAGACGGGCGATCCCAGGTGAGGAAGGGGAGCCAGCCGGGAAGGAAAGCGAAACGCCTTTCCAGGCACTTTACTCCCCTTAATTTAAGATTTGGATGCGGATTTTAAATGCTGCATCCCAAAAAAAAGGCAAAATATGAAATAGCATAAGGTGAATAAAGAGGCTTTAAGACCAGGAGGGAAAGGCAAATGTGACATCCCGGTTTAGAACTGAGAACAAAATGAACTCGTAACTAAGTGCACACGCTCCTGTGTAAGATCCTCTTGTGTGTCCCGTGGCCACAGCTCCGCATCCGGGCAGCTCCGGAAGGTGTTCGGGGCATCCAAGGGGAGCAGCCACCTCACGGGGCTGCTCCTACATGGAATTTCTCTAAATTACAGGGTGGTCCATCCAAAGCAAGGGGAGGGAAAGTCTCCAGCCGGCTGCTTGCCTGGAAATGGCCCAAAATCAGAACCAAGGATGCAGGATGCTCTCGACAAGTTGTCTTTTATCCAGGTGCCACTCCATTGTTTGTGTGTAATGACTTTTATTTATATTAAAATATATATTTTTTTKGAAAATAAACACGATCCAGAGCTGCGAGTTTGTATGGGATTGGACTGTGCTGCTTTTGCAGGTGTCTGGGATGGGATGGGGAGCAGGGCAAGGAGAGGGGCTCCTTGTCCGCAGATTCCCGTCGGGAATGRCCTATTCCCGTTGGAATTTATCCTTTGCAGTTGTTTCGGAGCGCTGTTTTTCAGGGAAGCTTCTAGAGCGAGAGTCACTGTTCTCCTTTGGCAATGTATGCTGGAAAGAGGAGTTCCACCTCGCCTGCATTTCTGGTTCTTTACCCAAAGCGTTTCAGCACGGAACAGGGTGTTGGAGCTGCGCTCCCACGTGCTTGTGGAAGTTACAGGACTAAACGAAAATCCACTGGCGCGGGGGGGGGGGGGAGATTATTCTACATTTCCCCACAATTTACAACCATCCCTGTTGTGTGGGGGGGTTCTTTTGTTTTTTTGTTTTGTTCTTGTTTCGTTTTTACTTCTTTTTTTTTTTTTTTTTGGTGTTTTATCTGTGTTTTAAAATAATTGTACTGGGTTATAATGCATTTTATTAACACTATGTACATATTAGCTGCTTTGTGTTTCAGAATGGTAGTAATTGCTTTGTATATTAAAGTGATGATTGTGAATGATTGTCATAAAGCAGTGTTTTTTTACTACTGTAACCTTTGTGGTCAAAACTGTCATAACTCCCTTTTTACACAAACATTTATGTGCATTCGCATAAACATGCTTTAAAAAAAATCCACAAGGTCTCTTCTTTGAGCAAGATGTTAAATTCACGTGAATTTAGGGACAAATAGCTGCATACAGCCGTGGGAAACGGCATGTTGTAAGCACACTGTGGTGTCCCCTCTCTTAGGAACCTGCAAGTGTTTATGAGATAATTGTCCCAGAGAGAAGGCTTTGCAATTTTAATCAAATTGCATTAGATTAATGAGGGGTTAAAACCCAGAGGACAGTTTCCCTTCCATTCCTGAAGGGGATTCCTCAATCTGCTCTGCTGCTCCCGTCCCCSTTGGTTCTGTTCCACCAGCGCGTGGCGGATTTTCCCCTTTGCTCCTGGTCTGGGCTGGCTTTCCCGCTTCTMAACGTGCCCGTAAACCCTGTGCTGCTGATTGCAGTAACAGGCCAGAAGGCAGCGAGCGCTGCAGGGAGCGGATCGTGGTTATGTAATCTGCAAAGCTGGATCACAACACGGGGATAAGCCCAGGACAGATCCAGCACCTCTCGTGGCATCCAGGGAGGGCGGTGGGGCCGGCTCCTTGTGGCTGGGATTTCGTGGTTTTCACTGCGAAGCATCTCCATAATGGCATTCCTATATTTATTTATTCAGAAAACGACATCTCAGGGATGAGGGGGAATCCCAAACCGGCGTTTTGTCCACTGGATAAAAGATAAAACTGATTTGGCTTGAATTCCCAGCTAACCCTATCRGGTAAGGCAGATCCCTGTGCCGGCCGTGTGGCCGGCAGCAGGTCCGGTTCTCCTGACACGGCAGCACCTTACGGCYCTTGGCCCATAAGATGAAGAGCTGGATTTGATGCTGAGTGTCTTAACATTAACCCAGCATCGTTTTTTAGGTGTAGTGACGTTTTGCGAAGTTGTTCCCTCATGGAGAGGCATGTTTGGGGAGCCCGGCTCGCTTGGTTCCCGGGAAAGCAGCAGCCCAGAGCCCGGGTTTGGGGCCGGTCTCTGACCCAAAGGACCCCGCAGTGGCCAAGGACAAGTGAGGGGGCTGAGTCAGACGGGCACGAGGTGCTCCCCGAGCCGCCGGCGTCTCTCCCGGCTCCGCTCCCAACATTCCAGCGGTGCCTTTCTTTTCCATGGCTTCATTGGAGTGGCAGCCCCGGAGGAGGCCGAGCCCCATCTCTCCTGTGCCCAGGGACCTGCTCGCYCTGAAAGCCATAACACCATTAAAAGGACACACAGTTACATTGACGTTAACTGTGGAATCATAATCTTTTTTCCTCGTAATTTTTTTTTCCAACACCGTTCACCCAGCTGATAGGATAGAAAGGCCACGTCTGGCACATTAGAGCTCACATCATGCTCTGTTTTTAATTAAAGGTGCTGCTCTCCTTCCCTCCAAGAAGGTGAACCCYGCTCGCAGGCGGCAGTGCACTGTGCTGGTGACACCCTGTGGCCACAAGGATATCGTTGCATTGTGCAGCATTCCCATCCTCAGACCCAGCTCGCAGGTCGCTTTGGCGGAGAAGAGTCTTCAGGGATGAAAAACGAGACCCTGGAGCCTCCTTCATGGCAGCTGCAATGGCAGACACGTCGTTTCCAGACTTTCTGCATCCTTCTCAGTTGGGAAGTTTGGTGGGAGACCAGGAGCTCATCGTGTCCATGGCCCAGGAGGAGCCGGTGGCCTGTGCTGGTGCTCACACTACAGGTAGAGCTTCAACCTGACCCGGGGGCTTTGTAAATTAAGTACAAAACAGAAGAACAAGTTCCACTTACTTGAAAAAAAAAAGAGYAATTCCTGCCTTTACAAGTGCACTGTTGCCCTATGGCCATCCCTGTGCATTTGTACCTGCTCCTGAGGGAATTCTGGTAATTTTTCCAGGAATGGGGTAAGAGTGGAAAAGAAATACCCATAYGCAAGTGTCCCATGGAAGCCACTGAGTGAGTTTGGTTTTAAACAACAGATCTTTTAATAATATTTTTCATGCCCAGAGATTTCTACAACTTAATCGGCTTCAAGAAATGACCCCCAATATCAAGTCAGGAGGAGACTTCGCACATCTCACGCCGAGGGGTGAAGCAGAGCTCCACCACGCAGAGGGGCAGCCTGCACCATCCCGGGACAAGGGCCCAAAAAACCCCAATCCTTGCCGTTTTCTGCTTTAAAACGAGAGCATTTGGTCAAAGCACAGAGGGCTGCACGGCACGCAGGCCGCGCTCGGTCAGAGCTCGTCCCCGCGCGCTGCTTTCCGCGCCTCGTAGATGCGCACGTCGGTGCCGGCGTCGTGGAGCAGCTCGCGGACGGCGAAGCGGGCGCGCAGCAGGCGCAGGAAGCGGTGGTCGCGCTCGTAGCGCAGGCGGCAGGCGAGCAGCACGAGCGTGCGCGCGGCGCACACGTGCTCCAGCGTGCGCAGCAGCGCCGCGAAYGTCTCCTCCAGGTAGACGATGTCGGAGCCCAGCACGAGGTCGAAGGCGCCAGCGGGGAAGGCGCCCAGGCCCTGGCCCCAGGCGAGCTCGCGCACGGCGGCGCGCGGCAGCGCCTCGGGCGGCAGGTTGTCGCGCACGTTGGCCTCCAGCAGCTCCAGCGCGTCCGCGCGGTCCGTGAGGGTGACGCGGGCGCCTGCGGGGACACGCGTCAGGCGGAGCCCCGCGCGAGCGTGGCACGGATCGCGGCGAGCGGCCGCGCTTACCCAGCAAGGCRGCCACGATGCCCGGCAGCCCCGTGCCGGCGCCCAGCTCCAGCACGTGCCGGTCGCGGAGGTCGATGCTCCCCGCCTCCAGGAAGGTGCTCAGCACCACYGCCTGGGAAGGGGGACGTGTGGGGCGTCGCGGGGCCGCCCCACGGCGCGCGCCGCCCCCCGTCCCTGCGTGGCGGCACCTACCGCGTCCCAGACGACGGCGGCGACRCCGAGCTGCGCCCAGCGCTGGCGGATGCGGAGCGGGCGGCCTGCAAAGCGGAACGTGGCGGCCGGGCAGTGCAGGGCGGCCAGGGCGCCGTGGCTGCCCGCCGCGTAGGGCACCAGCGCCATGGCCGCGGTGGCACCGCCGTGGGGCCCGCCGGGCCCCCCGTCCTGCAGAGCGGGGGGTTTGGTGAGAGCGACCTGTGAAAATGGARGGTTTGGTGAGGAGCGAGTCATGAAATGGAGGGTTTGGTGAGGAGAGACCCATGGAAACAGAGGGTTTAGTGAGGAGAGACTCGTGAAAATGGAGGGTTTGGTGAGGAGTGAGTCGTGAAATGGAGGGTTTAGTGAGGAGAGACTTGTGAAAACAGAGGGTTTAGTGAGGAGAGACCCATGAAACGGAGGGTTTGTTGAGGAGCAACCCATGAAAATGGAGGGTTTAGTGAGGAGAGACCCATGGAAACAGAGGGTTTAGTGAGGGGCGACTGGTGAAAATAGAGGGTTTAGTGAGGAACAACTCGTGAGAACTGGGGGTTTAGTGAGGGGYGACTGGTGAAAATGGAGGGTTTAGTGAGGAGCGACCCGTGTACAGGCTGGGGTGTCGGGATGAACATGTGGGCTCCTGCACCCTGTTGCCTCCCGCACACAGAGCTGCACTTCAACAGCGCGTATCGTGGGGAAATAGCGGAGAGAAACCTGGTTTCCTAAGAAAGATGGGCACCGAGGGAAACCCGAGATGCTGCTGGAGCCTCTAACGAAGGAAGGAAAGCTGAAAAGCCTCTGATTTCTCAGGCTCGGCTCCTGAAGGCCGGGCTGGCCCCGAGCACGGCCGGCAGCGAGCCSTCCTGCGTGCTCCTCAGCGCGGCGCCGCGCTCCCGCCAGCCGYGCCGCCCATCGCTGTCCTGCCCCGCAGCCCACCGCGGAGCCGGAGCCCTCCTCTTAGGCGCCCAGACCTCTGCTTTTATTTACAGGCGCCGCATCGTGTAAGCGGAGGGGAGATTGCAGAGCAAGCAGTTTTCTGCAGAAATGGCCTTGTAGGTGGGCAGAGAGCAGTGAGAGCCCTCAGAGGCGCCTACACCTCAGTGCCAGCGTTGCCCTTTTAAAGCATCACCCTTTGCACAACGCCCATCTCAGAAAGTGCTCTTATATTTCTAGGTGTAGCAGTGTCTCCTCCAGGCTCCGGGCACTAAATCCTTCACACAAAGCAAGAGGCCAAGTCCCAGCGACTTCAGGCACTGAAGTCTAAGGACTGGAGCAATTTGGAGCCGCTYGCTGGTCCCTGCTGGCCTGGGGACACCATAAAACCTCTGCAAGTGCTACAACACCCGAGAGWATTGACCCTTCCTTCATGGGAAGGCTGCACACACTGCCAGACAACAAAAGGACAAAAAGAAAAAAAGTGAAAATTTAGGATTTAGAGCTACCAAAAATCCACACCGTGTGCTCCGAACAAACRTGCGGGTTACTCATTTTCCTATTCCTAATGAAAATGCTGGAATTCCAGCTTCCCTCGCCCCTGCTCTGCCTCAGGCTTTTTCCCTTAAATGGCCACAGTCTCCTGTTACTCGCCAGCTCYGGAGGACAATCATTCCTGCAATATTTTTATCCCGTCAGCTGGTAGCCGGTTTCAAAACAGGATGCCTGGTTTTCCCCCCATTATTTGCCGCAGTGAGGCACAGAGCTCCCAGCCTTTGTTTCCCCTCGGCGATACAGGTTCAACCGAGTGATTCATTTTTCCTGCAGGCAGGGACAATGTCCTGGCTCTCCTCCAAGTTATCCATAGGCCGCTGGAGAGCAGGATCAGAAAGCAGGGAGCTTTCTCCCGCAGCTGAGACTCTTTCTAAGAAGGGGGGAGATGGGCAAGACACATCCCGAGGCTGGTGTTATCCCTAGGGACACGCACGGAAGCCCGGGCCTTGGCACAGCCTGCTCAGGACTAAACCAAGGTGAAGACGGTGGTAGGATTTAGAGAAGGTAAAAGCCTCGGCCTGTGAAACACAAGCAAAGTTTGCAAAGAAACTTCTTTTTTTCCCCATTTCCAGGAGTGCTAGTGAAACTGTGTGGCTTTAAGCACACGCTGCACTTCCATTTCCAGGGTCTCCATTCAAGGACTCTCTGTGCCTTGTTGCGCTCAGCGTGGACAAAAACAGAGGAGTTTTCCGAGGGGCTGTATTCGGGCAGGAGCTCCTCCCTGTGGTTCCTGGTGTCTCCAAGGGGGAGCCAAGCACAACACGCACAGCTCGACCTGCAGGGAGCCACCGGGGAGGTGGGAAGTGTTAAGGACTCGTGCGGGCAGCAGGAGGCTTCGGAGCGGGCAGCCCYGGCGAGGAGACACGGCCGCGGCGGCGGGAGCCGCAGGGCGAAACGCGGCCGGGGCGCTCGGARCAGCCTCGTCCGGCCTCGTCAGCCTCATCCAGCCTCMWCCAGCCTCCACCAGCCTCGTCAGCCTCGTCAGCCTCTACCAGCCTCCGCTGGGTGCCCACGCGGCCGCGCTCACCGCTCCAAGCCGCACACGGGGCTCACRGGTTCCACGCGGGCTCAACCCGGTGTTGCGGCCTATGTCTCATTTCAAAACGGCCCTCAAAGCCGAGTGAAGTTTTCCTGGTGGCTCCGGGGGCTTTTTTCCYAAGGACCTGCATTAGGATCATTTCCCAAGCTTTGGAAAGGCGCTTCTTGGGGGGAGTTAAAACAGGCATACGGCCTCCCCAAAACACCCACTTGCTCCAACGCAAGAGAATTACTCTTCATCCTCATGAAAGCAAGGCAGAAGCAGCGTTGGGTTCCCATCGTGCTGCCTGGGCACGGTTTGCTGGTGGGGAGGGACCAAGGAAGTGAAATGGGAAAAGTGTGCGAGGAAACCAGGACAGCTTCTCCGGAGCCTTGCTTAGCTGATCTTTATAGTCCTGTCACTGGCCTGGGTCAATAAAATCCCTTGTTGCCCTATCCTTTAAAACCAGCATTGCCCGAATCCCACCTGCAAACACGGCCCTGGTGCGAGCTGGGGTGGGGACAGCCTTGTAACCAACGGGAAGCACTTCCAGTAGACGGGAAAAGCATCCAGTGCATCAGGCTGCGTGAAAACATGGCGTGTGTTGCTCTCCATTGGGTTTGTTATTGCAGGGAGACACGCGAGGAGCGCGGGGCGAGGGGCAGGAGGACAYGCGGCTGCATCCCAAGGGTATGGAATGGGTACAGAATTCCCGCCAGGAGCCACTGTCCAAAAGGGCTGCTTGTCATGCAAAATGTGGGGCGAGGTACATCAAAATAATGGATCTTTTTATAATGGGAACTGCCTGACGTGTCACTGGGGTAAATCAAGCAGAGCAAAGGAGAAAGAGCGGGCAGAAAGCAGGGAGAGGACGAGGGCGGGTAATACATCAGGAGAGCTGTCACTCAGCGCCCTGCGGGGCAGGAAATCAAYAGAGGGCTGAGGTGCTGAAATTAAAGATATGGCCCGTTCCTGGGGCCGCGGTGATTCCGTGGACAGCCTCGTCCTGCAGGAAAGCACGGAGCAGCAGGCTGCGCCGTGTCYTTGTGACGGGCAGCACGGGCGGCGTGGGGCCCACGGGGGACCTGCCCCCCGGCTGGGGATCAGCCCCCGTGGGGAATCACGCAGTTCCTGCCCTTATTGCAGCCGGGATCAACATACGGATTGGATGTATGTGGAATTTATGGCTTCCTCCCCTCGGAGAAGCTAGGTATGGCCAGGTACGAGAAACTAGATGTGCTGGGTTTTTTTCTTTTTCTGCAGAGTGTGTCCTTGTCACAGAGCAATGGGGAAGGCTGTTACACACATTTCTGTACGTGCACGTGTGCGCATACATCTATACATATACAAAATGCAACACAAGGCCCGGACCGCCAGCGCCCCTCCCCATGCTGCACACGGTGAGCGGGGCCGAGGCAGCTGCGGGCTGTAGCTCACCCCATGTAGGGTGAACATATAATCCAGGACTGCATTATTGTTATTGTTATCACTATTATTATTATCATTATTATTATTACTGCTCTGCCGCCGGCGCACGTGGCCGCGCGGGGTCCGGCGGGGGGCGTGGCCTGGCGCACCAGGGGCGTGGCCTAACGCCTGGCGAAGCGCCGCCCCATTGGCCGCGCGGGCGCTGCGGGTGCGGCTGCGCGCGCGCCGGCGTGACGCGC